GTATCAAATTATTATTAGGTAGCCGTGTATATACAGTATAGACAGTATATATAACTTATATACTGTATATGCCGCACATAGAAACGTGTAGCGCCCATAACACCACCACAAAAAAAAATCATGCAATTGTTGTACCCCATTAGACACCCGGGTTAGGTATATTGAAAAAAAACAATTGCAAACTTACAAACAAAACAAAAAACTTATTGAAAATACTTATTTGTTTCCGTGACTTAGTGGTTGGAGAGCCCCCAATAGAGGCTCTGGGTATCATACATATCATACATGTATACGTTTAAAAAAATGGTTATAGCTTTAGTATGTTTGTGATAAATGTGAGTATGACTTTAGGCCCTATCGTGTGGGCACAGGTATGTATGTATGTATGTATGATATGTGATCGTTTTGGGCAGCAAACTGTCTTTGAAAACTGTGAACCGGCGGCGGCGGCTCTCTCTCTCTCTCTCTCTCTCTCTCGTGTGGTGTTGGCATTTGCTCTGCGTTTTTGACTTTTAATTACAATGCAATGTATAGTCAGAAAGAGAGAGAGAGAGAGAGAGAGAGAGAGAGAGAGAGAGAGAGAGAGACTATTTTTTTAGGCAAATATTTTGCCAGTAATTTGTGTGTTGTCTTAACTAAAGAGTTGTAAAAATAGGAGTGTCTTTATACCTCCAGTAAACTGTTTTGTGGCACTAATTATGAGTTTTCACTCATTGCATGTCCACTTTTTTTTGGACAGCAAACCTAATGCCCCGGTGCTTACTAACTATTATATCTAACTGATATGGTACTGGTGCTCATATACAACTCAGACAACTTCAATCAGTTTACATACACAGGGAGAGAGAGAGAGAGAGAGAGAGAGAGAGAGAGAGAGAGAGAAAGTGCTCACAAATATCTAACACAAACTGGTGTATGATTTAACAAATAAACTTCAAACTAAATTATAAATAATATAATAGTTGTGATAGGATTTGATAGGTTGTACTGCAATATTAAGTGTTCAATCCATGGGAATGGGATACAAATTAGTAATATGTATTTGACATGTAGTTTTTTTGTGTGTGTGGGTATTATTTTGTTTGTTTGTTTGTTTAGTAATTTGATTGCAATGCTAATCACATATTTAATTGTTAAGCACTGACATATATATACCGGTATATATATATACAAAAAAAAACCACCCTTTCCTCATGTAGTTTTCTCATATTTGATTTGATTGACTACTACTACTAGTAGTAGTAGTGAATTATGATTTATAATTGAGTTTCATTTTTTTAAAATGATATCTATATATTGACTGCTTGTCTAACTTTTCATCACTTCCCTCCCCAGCCCCTACCCCCAGTCATCACTATTCATATACAGTACTGTATACATATCAATAGTAATCAATGATAAATAAAGTATACTGTATTTAATCATCAATCAATAGTAAACAACAATTTTCTAGTTAGTTTCAATGATGATATCAAATATAACATTGTTAATGAGTTAATGATTGGTTTGGTCACTATTTTTTGTTGTTGTTGGTTGAAACCAAACCTAACCAAAAACATATGATAAATTTGATAATTTCCTAAACATTGTATGTTTCCTTAGATTATAGTTTTTAAATAATTTATTGCCATTTCAATTCAATTGTTTGATTCACTGATTGATTCATTGAACTCATACAATAATATATAGTAAATAAGTTGTATGTAATTGTTTTAGTCGTTAATTATAAGATAATATAATAATCGTAAATATATATACAGTATATATACTGTATACAACATATATATATATATATATATATTGATAATAAAAACTATTGGCTATCTCTACACTAAAAGGTTAAGCTTTTCAAGTCATATAAGATTACATCTCATTTTATTTTTAAATAATTGTATGAATGAATAAATTTATCAGTTTTAGGGAATCGGGTGTTTAAAGAATCTCTCTCTTTCTTTCTCTCTCTCTCTCTCTCTCTATCTCTCTCTCTCTCTCTCTCTCTCTCTCTCTTTCTTTCTCTCTCTCTCTCTCTCTCTAAAACTTTATTGTCAACCCTAGTCCTAGTAGTCGTCCAACCAATTGATTGTCGACATTGATTAACAATACTATACTATATATATATATATATATATATATATATACCGTATCTCTATTGTATGGCCCCATGTAATGGAATATTCTTGTATTGGATTGTAAAACAATGATAATTAACTAGATTTTTTGTTTGGACAGTTGTGTCTATATGTGTGTGTAATGATTGTCATATATGTAAAAATCGTATAGATGTGTGTGTGTGTGTGTATGTGTGGGTCGCCACATATAAGCCCATATCTAACCATCACTTTTGACGGCCTCTCTATCTCTAAACTTTTGAAGACTTTATTGTTTTTATCGTAAGTTTTTGCAGTAGTTTTTTTGTTGTTAAAAATTTTTGGAAATAGTAGTTAAATGAGAGAAAGTTTCCACTTTATACTACTATTACTACTACTACTACTACAGTGTTATCACTAATACATTGGTTTGGCTTCACTTTCACTATCTATTTATTATATATACAGTATATATATTGATAAGTCTACTGTAAATCCCAATGTTAACAACCAGTGAACGTCAAAAATTTAGTTATTGAGAGTTTTAAAAAAGAGATAGAGATATAGTCATACAATAATTGTAAGCCTATTATGTTTGTATAGAAAGAGAGAGAGAAAGAGAGAGAGAGAGAGAGAGAGATAATTACATCAAAATTAGTGAAAGAAAAATACCTAAAGATATAGTAACAAAAAAAATTATAGTAAAAATATTATATACAGTAGTAGTAGTAATAATAATAAGTGTTATAAATATTTTTTAGTAATATCTATATTTTACTGGTATTGTTGTTGTTGTTGGTAGTGGTGCTGGTGATGGTAGTAGTGGTGATGGTAGTAACCGGCGCTATAACCAAACCATAACTCCTTAAACAATGAGTATACGTAGACTATAGAGGAGTAGAAAAAATATATATAACTAATAAAACTTCACTCAAATCTCTCAATTATCGACTAAAAAAAATATATATAAATAATTTCAAACAAAAAATTCTTTTCAAAGAGTATTTTGTTTGTTTGAAGACATAGATTGAGAGCAAAATACATCCCAAAAGACAAGGTCAGCAAAAAAAGATTATAAATATAAATGTATTTTCAATCTTAATATTACTCTCTTTCTCTCTCTCTCTCTCTCTCTCTCTCTCTCTCTCTCTCTTTACTATAACCCGATTCGGTAGTCATTACAATAGACAGCGATTATTGGCAGCCAAACCATCACTAGATTTCTTATATCTTAAAAAATAGTTTCTCTCTCTATCTCTCTCTCTCTCTCTCTCTCTCTCTCTCTCTCTCTCTCTCTCTTTTACTTTCTCCTCTAATATATATTGATTATAGCGCTTCGTATACAACAACAACATTATCATCAGTACATTACAGATACATATTTTTTTTGGTGGCATCAATTGAATGAATGAATGAATTAAAGGGGAACCGGAGCTTATGGTTGTTTTCTAATATAATTTTTATTTTAAAAGTCCATAAAATCTATGAACAAAATACAGGTAAATATTGTGTATATAAAACACAGGTATAGTACTGTAGTAGTAGTAGTAATGCATTCCTCTCTATCTTTCGTAACATTTTTTTTTCGGCCAAACAATGAATAAATCTATCAACAGATGAGTCCCTATTTTTTTTGCTATGAAAAACACATTTTTTCTTTTACTATATTTAAAAAAACTATAATTTTTTATTTTAGAGAAAACAATTTTTTATGAAAAAAATCTATTATTTTGGTGCAAATGCTTACAAATCATAGATAATAAAACAAAATTTTTATTTTGTTGATAAAAATGATTTTGACTAACATTTGTTGGTATGAGTAGTAGTAAATGACTACACATTTAGTTTTTTTGTAGTAAAATATTTTTTTTTATAATACAATAAATTACTTTATTTTAAATGATTTTATTTTGCTATTTTATATTTTTTTTAAGTGCAATATTCTTATATATATTTAAGATAAGAAAAATTATATACACTGTATATACACAGGTATTAAGATTTAATAATAAAATTTTTATTTAAAATTTGTTAAACATTTTTTTCCATACACACGAAAAAAATCATAATAATATATTTAATATATTTTTATTTACAATTGCTTGTATTTTCAATTAGTAACACGATTTAGCTAAATAAATATTATATTATATTATATATATAAATATAATGCTAAATTTTGTTTTTATTATAGAGATATTCATCATAACCTTGATATATTATATTGTATTTTAAAATAATAATAATAATAATTTTTTGTTGTTGAAAATCATAGATTAAATAATAAGATTTAAGTTATTTTTTATAGAGAAAATAAATTGTTATCAGATTGAAAATTATCATTATAACAATAATAAAAAACTTTTATTTTCATTATATTATATATAATAATAATAATAATTAATATAATAATTATTTATTTTTACATACAATGTTATATTGCAAATTGTAAATACATATTTTATTAATAATTACTACAATAATTATTAGAAAATACATTTTAAAAAAACATTTTCAAATTAATAATAGAAAAAATAAATTATTTTAAAAATAGATAATTTTTATTATTAATATTATCAATTAATAAATAACATTTTTTTTAAAAAAAATAAATGAGTATATGTAAAGGTATATTTTGTGTCTACAAAATAAATTATCATTATAAAAAAAATTTATAGACATTTAATTTAAGTATATTAAATATATATATATATATAAATAATTTACAAAATAAAAAATAGTTTTATACTATACAATAAACATTAGATAATACTTTACTAATTATACTAATTAATGAAAATAATTTAAAAACAATTTATATAATTTATAATACATTTATATATATATAAAAAAATAATGGCTTAATATATACAAACATTATCTGATATTTTTTTCGGGGGACGGGTGGGTTTATCAGGCGTTCATCAATAGCTCATTGAGTGCCATAATATAATGCTGAGCCATCTGTAAGGTTTCGTATTTGGATAGTTTGGAGTCACCGCCGATTGATGGTACGACCTCCCGGAGCTTATCGAAGGCAACGTTCAACGATAGCATACGTTTCCTTTCACGGGCATTGGCGGCCAGTCGTCTTTTGCGGACCACTGGCGGAGCGGCGGCGATGGCTGTCATACTGTCGCCAATCGATAGCAACTGATCTTTCGTTGACGTCTTGTTTGTACGTCGTTTACGGCTTTTCTTTGTCTGGCCAGTCGTTGTTCGGCCACTTTGGACCGACTCATCAGTCGTCGTCGACAAACAGACAACTGTTTTATTATTATTATTGGATTTGTTTGTTATGGTCGTCGCAAATGTCGATGTCGTGTCCATCGAATCGGTATCATTTGATGGCGAACCGCACGAATACGAATACGAGTCGTGGAAACTGGCGATCGACGGTATAGAGTAGGAGTTGGCCGACGGCGAGACAGCGACGATATCGCTGGCGGCGTCGATGGAGTCGTCGCCGCCGCCGCCGCCGATTAGATTGGACTCAATCATCATATTTCTGATGATCTGCTGATGGTCTTCGTTGTTGACAACAAAACAAAACGAATTGTTATTATTATTATTATTTGTTGAATAAAAAATATTATTGTTTTCATTCATTTCCGATGCCATTTGAAGATATTTTTTAAGTAAAATATATAATAAAAAAAAACAGTCAACTCTGGAGAGTTCACACAACCAACGAAAAAAAAAATATATAACAAAATTACGGTATAATTCAATTCAATTACAGGACATCAGTGGTATTATATGAGAGAGAGAGAGAGAGAGAGAGATAGAAGTCAACATCAATTGCAACTGTTTTTCCAACTATCGTGTGGAAGCTCTCAATGAGAGTTGAATGGATAGATCAGAGAGAGAGAGAGAGAGCACAGGTAGCCAAGTCTATCTTCTCTCAGGTAGTGAGTGAGTGAATGTGTTTGTATGTATGAGTGTGTATGTATAGCGGCACAACTTGTTGAGCCTGTAGTGTGTGAAGTGGACCTTATAGACTGGCTTTTTATATGTGGAGACCTAGAGCTCCGCCACTGAGATAGAGAGTACCAGACATTGGGAGAGAGAGAGAGAGAGAGAGAGAGAGAGAGAGAGAGAGAGAAGCCTTCTCATCATTATCTTGTCAGATAACAAGGCGGAGATCCCGTCCCCATCCGTCCCCATCCACGCGCTTTTAGCCCGAAGGCAACGAAAAGGCTGTCAATTTGAACGGTCGGTTCGCATTTGACTCTCGGGTTTAGTATATATATATATATATGCTGTATTGGGATATCAAACATAACACACACACACATATACATATATATATATATATATAAACCCTATTGTATTGTATTTTATATACCCTACCAGTATATTATGTTCATTGACTATTGAAAAAAAATTGTCACTACATTAGCTATGACACACATGAGTTGACTGTCCACTACAATCATCACAGTCTCCACACCAGTTTATTTTTGAAACACATAACACATCAATGACTGTGTGTGTGTGTGTGTGTGTGTGTGTGTGTGTGTGTGTGTGTGTGTGTGTGTGTGTTCAATGTCTCAATACAAATGTTATTGATATTCATTGTTAATGTTTATATATACTGTATTGTATGATAACAATGCTATTTCCAAAAAAAAAAAAAATTAAATGATTGTTTGAAATCTATTATTTTGATTAACTCATTAAGTATTATAATATGTATTCAAAAGCAACAAAATTATCAATAGTTTTCTCAATTTCTATTGATAGTTTAATAATAAATAACTATATCCCAGGTCTAATAAATAATAATAATAGAAATATTGTATGCTTTTATGCACATATATATACAGTACAATATAATATGATTTTTTTTGAAATCTTTATTTAAGTAATGTCAACTCTTTAATAACTTATTTTTCCTAAATTTTTTTTTTAAATTTATTGTCTCAAATAAATCATAAAAATAACCCTTTAAGCAAATTGCAAAATTATGAGTTACAGGCAGTCTATATGTATGTATGTATGTGTGTGTGTATGTGTAAAATAGAGAAAGTAAGTCATATATATATAAATGATATTTTTAAAGTAAATATTCATAAGTTTTATTATGGTTTTTAAGAGTCTAGAAATCGATTTTTCAAAAAAAAATTATTTATTTTTTTTCTCTAAATTGAAAACTTAATGAAGTTTTTGTTATTTGGTATATAATATAGATATATAAACAAAAACAACAGTTTGTTTGATAATTGATTTTTTTTGTATGTATGTATCTATCTATCTATGTGTGTGCACACAATTATTGTTTGTATTTACCGATAATACAGTGGTTGGACACTACAGGAGCAACTAAACAGTATTTTTTTTTAAAACAATATATACAGTATATATAAACATGAATAATAATAATAATAATAATAATAATAAAGTGAAAGTAAAATAAGTGATCAAAATTCAATACATTGATATTGAATTTGACTAAACAATTAGTAAACGATTGATATATTCAGTATGTATTACAAATGACTTAATAAATATTCATAAATATTTCACTCCTTATAACAAACTATTTCATTATATGCTTCTCTCTCTCTCTCTCTCTCTCTCTCTCTCTCTCTCTCTCTCTCTCTCTCTCTCTCTCTCTCTCTCTCTCTCTCTCTCTCTCATGGGCTCAATTCACCCCTTAATGAGTTTGTTGTACTGTTTTTTTGGCCCTTCATATCTCAATGTCCACTACAGCGATATATATATATATGAAACAGTCATAAATACAGTCAATTTTTTGTGATGAATAGCCATTTGAATGAACAAAATAGTTTGTAGAAAATATATAATATATTGAAAAAAAATTAGTAAAAATATCTATACTTTCGATACACACAGTGTAGGGTCCACTTCCATATAGGGACAGGCAATCAGTCTTTTAATGGTTTGGAGTCCAAAAATATCTCCTCTTCCGCCACACATATATATATATATATATATATATATATAAAGTATATACATATCTATATGTGAAGTCCAGTCTATTTGTTGAATGGCTAAAGAAAACAATTTGTTGTGTTTTTGTGAAATAGTTTTTTTTGTCTCCTATTGTTCAACATATATACATATATATATACTGTACTGTATATACAAACCATTCATAAGCCTATCCATAGGTTATTACTTATAGATAGTATATTAGGAGGAACACCATAGCGGCGGCGTCGGCCAAACCTACAAAAACATAACATACATTTGTCATGAATTGATATATATTTTATTTTTTTTGGCTAAAAGAGAGAGAGAGAAAACAAAATCTTATTGACAGAGACTATATATATATATATATATAGTGAACCAATTTTAATGGACAATAGCCAAGAAAAGTAAAACAATTTGAAGACTAATCTTAAGAGAGAGAGAGAGAGAGAGAGAGAGAGAGAGAGAGAGAGAGAGAGAGAGAGAGAGAGAGAGAGAGAGAGAAATAATATAAAAGAAAAGAAAAATTGAAGACAAGGTCACCAATTGGTTTCACTTTTATTTTTTTGAGCATTTTTTCTGTTACTTTACTTTTATTTTATCTATTTTTTTTTGTTTGTCGATTAGTTGTTGCTCTCGTTGTTGTAGTTTCTGGACATTATATATATACAGTATATATATATATATATATATCAGGGTTAAGCAAGGTTTTGGATTTTAGGGGGGGGTAGACCGGGGTAAAATTTACAAAATTCTCAAAAAATCTTGGGGGGGGGTATTGGGTGGGGTAAGATTTTTATTGCATTTTTAAACGGCAATTTTTTCAAAAATCCAAAATCAAGGGGGGGGGGGGGGGGGGGGGTCTAGAGAAAATTCCCTAAAAATTCCTTAAGTTCCCGAATATTCCCATGTAAATTCAATAAAATTCCCACAAGTTCCCGTATAAATTCCCGGGAAAATAGGTAAAATTTCCAAAAATATAAAAAAAAACTTAAAAAAACTTAAAAATTAACAAAAATTTAAATTTTAACAAAAAATAAATATTTTTTAAAAAATTTTTTTAAAATTAATAAAAACTTAAATTTTAACAAAAAAAATAAAATAATGTATTTAAGATTTAAAAATAGTTGATAAAAGCATTAATGATACACTATGAGTTATTTTTAGTATTTTAATAATTTTTAACTTTTAACATAATTAATTTTTTAAACAATACTTAATGTTTATAGTTTGTTATATATTTTTATTTTTATACAAATACTGACTGAATACTACTTATTTAACTCAAATTTCGTTAAAGTTTAATTATATTAAGTACAAAATTGAAAATATTTTTAAATTTTTTATTTAAAAATTAAAAATTATTAATAAAAACATAAGTATTTATTGTTTTATTAACTTCTTAAACTTATATTTAAATTGTAATATGATTACTCTTTTCAACAAATAGGTAATTTTTAATTTTTTAGTTTATTTTAATTAAAATAATGTTATTTTTTGATGACTTTTAACGTTATTTTAACTATTTTTAATCAATAATTAGATTTTTATAAATATTAAAAACATAAAAACACTTACTAAAATAGTATCAACTAAAATTAAAATTTTTATAAATTTCAAAAAAATTTTCGGCGCCGKCGGCGCCGAAATTTTAGGGGGGGGTCATTTCTCCTCGTTTTTAAGCGACAATTTTTTCAATTTGGTCAAAAAGTCTGGGGGGGGTAAAATCCCAATTTCTCGATCTTAGGGGGGGGTATTTTGGCCTTACCCCCCCTACCCCCCCTTACTTAACCCTGATATATATATATATATATATATATTGTTTGGCGTTGATTTCAATGATGATATTAGTATTACTTGTATAATATTTAAGTAATACAGGTATTCAAGTATTTTTTTTGTTTGTTTGAAGACTTCATCTCTTAACCATTAAATAGCGATAAAAATCTTGAGACTCGCTTTCGACACTTTAGGGGTGTATATCAATAGCTCTCTTAATTTCTCTCTCTCTCTCTCTCCTCTTTTTTAGTGATTCCGATAGCTCAGGCCTACAAACCGCCACTACACACACACACACACACACACACACACTATTACTTAACTCATTACTCAATTTAGACTTATATTACCTTTTTTTTTGGTACTTTCATTTCATCTCAATTCATGATTCAATTCTGGGAATCACTTAATACTATAATATATGGTATAATATCTAACTTTATATAAACAAAGTTAAGTAAATTAAATGACTTTTTTTTGTTTTAAACACACACACACATATATAACACAAATGTTTTATAATTGATTTTTTTTGTTTGTTTGAAGTTTATCTTAGCTATGTGTATCATTAAATTTGAAATTTATATTTTATTGTGAAATATTTTGACTCAACTTTTTTTAGGTTTTGTTTTATTTTATTTTGTTTTCCAGTAAGTAATGATCTCTAATGTATTGTTTAAAAATACTTAAATTGCTATTTTTTATTTTTTTAAATACTAGATATATTGATATATATATATATATACTCGTCTATTATATAATATGCTATAATTTTATTCGTG